AGGCCACACTGCTGGCCTGTGTTCAGCTGGCTGTCCGGGCACTGGAAAGGGTCACCCAGGGCAGCGGTGGAGTCCCTGTCTCTAGAGGTATTTAAGAACTGGGTAGACACAGCACTTAGCAATATGGTTTAGTTGAGGTGTTAGCTTAAGGGCTGGACTCGATGATCTTAAAAGTTTTTTTTCCTAGGTGATTCTGTGACTCTGCAGCTCACAGCCAGGCAGGGGCCGGTCCCCAGCCCTGTGCCTGGGCACATCCATCAGCAAACTCAGGAGGGGCTCGGCTTTGCTATCAATAGTGCCCTAAAGCAGCGTGGAGGTGTCACCAGAGGTTCCCTCTCAGCTTCTGGTATCTTGAAGCACAGACTAAGTGTGTAGAAACGGAGGCAGAGCAGGCTGGGAACCTGCTCGTATGCAGACAACTGGCAGCAAGCAAGCTGCTTTGCCTTTGGACAGAGTTGGCTCTTGGAGCTGTGTGCTTTGCTGGTGGGACTGTGCTTGCTCAAACCAATGCTGCTCCTGCTGCACAGCCAGGAGAACCTCCCGCAACAATTACAGCTCTTGAGGCTTTCTCTCCTCTGTCCAAGCAGCAACTCAGCCTTTGCTCCTGGACATAGGGTTGCCCATAAACACCTTCCCCCTGCAGCATTTGAGACAGTTGTTCTGGCACTTCCACGTGCAATCCTGGTCTCAGAGGAGCTTTAGGGGAGAACAGCAAGGAAGAGCTGGAGGTAAGCGCTGGGAGAGCAGAGCTGGTTCAGCCTGCTGTGTCTGGCCAGGCAGTTCTAGGTCACTAGGTCCGAGGCTGGTGAGCTGTCTGGCTGAGGTGCTTGGCCCTGCTGGCAGGGCTGGGCTGGCGGCAGGAGGGCTTTGCAGGCGGGTGAATGACGGTGCCGATGCCATGGACCGAAGGTGGCGTGTGAAGGCAAGCATTTGAAAAAAAACGTCACCAAGCCACAGCTTCTGCGGACCTGGAGAAATATTTCTCCAGCCCTCAGGGCCCCCCCCGAGTGAGATGAGACAGAATGATTTCTGGATCCACTGCTGTCAAGGCAGGGATTTATTTTTTTTTTTGTGAGCCATGACATTTCTGCGAACCCAGAGGATGTGATAATAGGTCAAAAGCTGCAGCCACGTTTGGCACGGCGCAGCGATGGCTCATGCTTTTCTTTTGGGAGCCTCCAGCAGCATCACCCTGAGAGGGAAGCCTGGCTCGTTCCCCAGGACTAGAGTGTCAGAGCTGGCTCTGTTCTGGCTGGCGAAGCCTGCGGAGGTGTCAGCTGGGGTCAGGCAGCTCCTGTGCTCCCTGCTTTAAAAACACCCTCACCAAAGCTTTCTATGAAAGCATGTAGTCAGGTTTTTTTATAACATCTGCGTTTGTTTAAAAGGAATTAGAAGAGAGCAAGAAAAAGAGAGCTGTCATAAGCAAAAAGGAAGAATTAATGGCATTGTTGTACATGACACAGGAATCATGTGGCGGTAAAAAAAGAGTCTTTAGTCATTTCAGGCAGTTGTTAAAAGGAAACCCTCTTCAGCCTCCTAGAAGACAGGTCCTGCCTCTGACACAGCCAAATAAAACGTGGACCTTTCTCCCTTAGCACAACACAGCTGTACGCGTCAGCTCTACAGCCCTAACAGAACTGAAATTGAGCAGATTCTTGCTCTCAGGTGCTGTACACGAACTCTCAAAAGCTCTTTCTTTGTAATGGAAAGTCACAGCAACGATTTTTAAGATGTGTTTTCCCCACCTGCCAACTACAAGATGGCAGATGGCCTTGGATGCAACCTCAGAGCCAAACGACAAGAGAGGAGTCAGGCTGCACTAAGAAGATTTTCCAGAAAACAGCTATTATAGATTTGGCTCTGGTGCCAAGAGACAATAGAGAAATGGGCTTTAATAAATTGCCTAAATATGCATTTATCTTGAAGACACAGCCACTTTGATCCTCTGAGCATACCAGTGTCAGAGACTTTATTAGCTCCAAGCAAGTATTGCAATAGCTTGAGTAAATAATCTGAATTTTATTACTTTTCAGGAATGATTTCTGAGGAGTTAGTGCCCTGGGAAATGCTGGAAGCTGATGTTGTTGCATGAACTGAATGTGTAGAATTTGTTTCCCTTTCCCTGGCAGGCTGGAGGGCAGCAGAAAGCAGGATAAAGCTGGGAGTGCTGGGGATTGGTCATCTTAAATTGCGTTGCTTCAGCCACTGTGTATTTTAAGCTATGCCAAAGATGTAAGGGTAAACATCTTTCTTTTTTTTTAGCATTTCAGTACATCTAAATATACCACTAAGCAGTATTTAGAGGCAGGCCACTGTGAGCCAGAGAACTGAAAGGCAGAGCTGACGCAGTACTCCCGATGCACAGCTCCCGGTTTTTGACTGCGTGACACAGCAACAGAAATTCGAGTTTGTTATTTTACAACTGAAAGGGCAGAAGCCAAGAGCATTTCACCCCAGTTCTGGTTTGGCCTGCGACCGAAAAGGAGAATCCTGGGACAACAGAAGGAATCACTGTATGTGATAAAGCATCTGATTAATGCACATTTATCACCTGATAAATGTGAAGACCTGCAAGAGTCCACAGCTCTGAGAAAGCATCTTCCCTTGTGGGAAGGCTCTCTTCTTTTTCTCACATTTAAAAAGCTTGGTTCCAGATATCCAGGCACTACCCTGGGCACCTGGCCCACAGTTAAACACTGCAAAACCAACACGAGAAACAAAAGGCTTCACAGCTCCCTCTGCTCCCCGGCACACCAGTGGCTCCTCTCCTTCCCCAGCCAGATGAAGGGGGAAGGTGCCCCTGAGGTTCCCAGCAGCTGCAACCTGTGGTGGGGCACTGGGGGCTCCTTTTATGAGTGGGAAAGGGGAGCAAGCCCTCCTGCCAACTCATCTGGGATCCCCAGAACCAGAGAATGTGCCCAGCGCAGCCGAGCACAGCTTCAAATCCCAGCCAGATGGCCCTGGGTGAACCAGAGGTGCCAATGAAGGGGGAAGGTGCCCCTGAGGTTCCCAGCAGCTGCAACCTGTGGTGGGGCACTGGGGGCTCCTTTTATGAGTGGGAAAGGGGAGCAAGCCCTCCTGCCAACTCATCTGGGATCCCCAGAACCAGAGAATGTGCCCAGCGCAGCCGAGCACAGCTTCAAATCCCAGCCAGATGGCCCTGGGTGAACCAGAGGTGCCAGCCCAGGCTGGCACGGAGCAGGTATTTGGGATAAGAGTTCCCTCTGAAGGTAAAAGACCTTTATAAGAAAAAAAGGGAGATTTCTGCAGATGCAGGTCCTCTGTTCCTGAGCCATTTCTCCTGCAGGTGCTCTGGGCTCATCAGGAGCTGCGAAATAAAGGCACGTGGCAGCGCATCGCTGCCCTGCCTCTAGTCAGGCTGGCGGCTGCATGAATTTGGAAAAAAGCAACAGATTCCTTTGTCAGGGGAGATCAATAGTTTATTAACTTAAAGGTCAGTTCACCAAAGCTCCATCTTTCCTTGGGTTTTGGTCCAGGCAGGTGAGGGCCGGTGACAGTGTGGCTCTCCCCTCGTCACCTGGCTGAGGTAAGCTCCAGCGGGCAAGCCCAGGCAGGGTACGTGTCGTTGCAACCGAAACCAAGCAGGGATTATCCTAGCTCTTGTCAGGAACTGGTGACAATCCATACTGAGAATTTCATTGGCAAAAGGTTTAACTCGTTCAGACTATTAACAATGAAAATCAGAACGTACAGCGTAGGAAGAGTGTTTACATACATCTGGTGCAAAGAGTGGCTCTGCAAGGTCAGAGAGGACAAAAGGAGAAGGACGTAAGACACAAAAAGACTCCCCACTCCCATATAAAAAATAGTCCACAGAGAAAAAACAAGGATTGTATAAGTTATTTTTAAAAAAATCTGTAAAACAACATAGCCAAGGATATTTTAAACACAATTATATAAACACCACATGACTTACTATTAAGAGAGAGCATGAAAAGGTTTGTTTCAGTGAGGGGTTTTGCAGAATTAAGAGCTTCCTGGCCGGATCCCTGGAATGTCTCTTTTGGAAACAGATGCCCAAGAAAAATCACTGCCGTGAACAGGAGGATTTTGTGAGAGAGAGCGGGAGGGTATACCCGGCGAAACAGGGGAAGGATCATAACACAAAATGCCAGAAGAGATTAACTGGGACACCAGAGGAAGGACCTAGTTTGTCCCAGAGCTGAATTAATCAGCAATTTCCTAGCAGTTCCAGGAGGGAAATACATTTCACGGTAAGGCTGTGACCCCACAGGCTGGTCGGTGCGGACGAAACCCCCGCAAAGAGTCCACAAGGCTCCCTGTGGCACACAGCTTTCGCCTGCCTGCAGTTACCCGCCGGACTCGCCTGCCCGCAGAGCCACCTGGATCAGCTCTCGCTTTGGTCCTCAAATCTCCAGTTACTGCCACGGCCAGAGAGAAACAGCTACTGCCCGAATCCGAACAGGAGTGCCGGAGCCGGCTTTAGCGCACCGTTCCGGGAACCACCTAATTCGTCGTTTTATGTATGTACAGAGCACGGCGCTGGCCGTCTGCAATGCAAGTTTACATCAGCCATCACCTAGCAGAAAAGGGTACCAAAAATCGAGCCAGAAACAGCTCTTTCTTTGCAGAGGTGTGAAGTCCTGCATCCTTTGCAGTGAGGGCTCCCGCCAGCCACTCGGAGCGGGCAGATCAGTAGGATTTCTGCGAAGAACTGAGCATGTGTACATGGATCGTGCATTGGTCCCTGCTCACGGGGAGTGTTTGAGAGTATTAATATCACCGCTTGTCTGCTGCCTTTCGGGACTCGATCATTCAGGGTACGATCCAATCTCTGCTTAACATACTGCTATAGAAACGCGCTGACAGTGATATTAAAGCTATCAAACTCACGAGCGAATGCTTGACAGCACCATGTAAACTCTCCCAAAGCTGAAAAAATAAACTTTTGTCCTAAACATTTGGCAAAACTGGGCTGGCAGTTGGTGGAAGTCCTGGATGGATGCAGCAGCTGAACTTTACCCGGCCATAAGACACGTCTGACAGCAGAACTGCACAAACAGCTTCTTTTCACAGAGCTTGTTTGATTTCACCATCTCACAGAAAGTCTTGTCAGCTGGGAGGCCAAGGCAAGGAACAAGAGAAAATGAGAGCAGATTAACATTTTAAATAAACAAACATTGCACGTAACAGGCGGTGCAATTCGTTCCAGTGTTGGAGGAGACCAAACTGAAAAGGAGTCGCTTTTTAAGGGCATCTTTCACTTGGCCTCATGAAGGAATAAAGCAGCTTTGCAGCGAGTAGGAGAATTAGCCCCAAGACTAAACTATAATGAAACACTTGCTTGGATGCATTTGAGCAACAGGCAAATATCCAGCAGCTCTGCCAGGTAAGTTCCCTGCCTACCACGCTGGAGCCCAGCTTGATGTAGCCGTGCAGCAAGCCCACGAGATCCAGCTCTTTCGGCTTTACGTTGTGAAGGGAATTCCCCAAACCCCTCATTTTTGCTACTGGGGAAGCACTACGGTGCCAGCAGCTCTGCCACAACTACTTACCATTGGTGCAGGTTTCATTTGTTACACAGGAGCCACCGAGGAGGCTGAAACCTTCTTTACACTTGAGGCAGTTTCCACCGGAGCCCTCGCAGGCTGAGCACTGGTCGTCGCACCTGGGGAGACAGACCCCCCGCTGGAGTCTGAACCAGCACTGACACCCTGATCCTGAGCATCCAGAAGGGGCTGTCGGCCAGAAAACGTGTCTGCCTGCACCACGATATCCAGACTGAGCCAGAGGAGGTGGAAAAGAGCCAATCTGAAGCTTGGAAAGTTATCGAAGCCCTGAGAAAAACGAGCTTGGTGGTGCTAGTGACAGCTAGTGACATCCCAGAAGCGCGTGCCCATAAGGAAGGCTCACTGGGACAGAAATCCCAATAATCCCAGTTAAAAAATGGGCTGTGAGGGAAACCTGTGCTGCTCCCACCAGCTCAGGGAAAAGATCTCATCACCTTTGCCTCCCGCCTGGGGATGCTGGCCTGCTGAGAGTGTACCCGAAATCCCTGGGAAGGGATGCTGGACCTTTGTTCCTCCATGCCAGAGAGCCATGTGGGCGAGTGAAACCCTGGGCAGGCAGGCACTGTGCTTCATGTTCCCAAGTCACCTTTAATCCTTCCCTTTCATGTTTGCTTTAATGAGGCTGAATCCACTCCCACTCCCCACTCAAAGCGAAGAGTGCCAGGAGTGGGAGCAAATTGCTGCCTCCCAGCATCTCCCTGTCTCCCACATGCAGCCCCGGGTGCCAGGCCAAGGAGTGGGGCCAACGCTCCTCCAACGCTCCTCCAGCACGGCCACAGGGCAAACAGAGCAGGTTTGGCTGAGAGCTGGAATATTTGCCTAAACATCACCTTTCCTTCTTCCTCCCACACCTCCCCCAAAGAGCTTGGGGCCAGGGCTGAGCCCCTTCCACCATAGCCCTAAGACATCTTTGGCTGGCT